TTGAACCAATCAGTTGTTCCATATCCAGTTCTAACTGTTGCTTCTTATCCCACATATAGATTTCTCAGGAGATACGATGGTCAGGCACTCCCATTTCTTTAAGAACTTGCCATAGTTTGCTGTCCACACAGTCAAAGGCTTTTGCATAGTCAACGAAGCATATTAGCTATTTGCTCTCTAGTTCCTCTGCTCCTTCGAAATCCAGCTTGTACTTCTGGGGGTTCTTGGTCCACATACTGCTGAAGCCTACCTTGTAGGATTTTGAGCATAACCTTGTTAGCGTGTGAAATGAGTGCAATCGTACAGTAGTTGGAGCATTCTTTGGCACTGCCCTTCTTTGGGATTGGGATGTAGACTGATCTTTTCCAATCCTCTGGCCACTGTTGGGTTTTCCAAACTTGCTGGCATTGATGTAGCACCTTAACAGTGTCATCTTTTAAGATTTTCAATAGATGCCCATCTCCTATTTGACCACATCCAGCTTGCCAAGATTCATAGAGCTTATATTTCAGGTTCCTATGCAGTATTTTTCTTTGCAGCATCAGATTTTCCTTTCACTTCCAGGCACGTCAGCAGATGAGCGTCCTTTCGGCTTTGGCCCAACCACTTCATTAGCTCTGGAGCTACTTGTACTCGTCCTCCGCTCTTCCTCAGTAGCATGTTGGATGCCTTCCAACCTGAGGGGCTCATCTTCCAGCATCATATCTTTTAGCATTTTGTTTCTGTCCAGAGTTTTCTTGGCAAAGATACTGGAGTGGCATTGCCAATTCCTACTCCAGGTGGATTAAGTTTGGTCAGAATTCTCCACTATGACCTGTCTGTCTTGGGTGTCCCTGCACGGCATAGCCCATAGCTTCTCTGAATTTCTGAAGCCCCTTCGCCAAGACAAGGCAGCAATCCATGAAGGGGATGTGCAACTATAGTGTAACTTTAATAAAGTCAACTGATATATATTGTCTTCCCTATTAGTTTTTTGAAAGGATGTTAATCCAGAGAACTTCAGTTTAAGTAATAATCATGGTGATTATCAACAACATTCTACATTGGGACAATTTCTCAGTATCTCCACACAAGTCACAATGGTAATATAATCTTCATATCTGGGAGCACCCCAGTTAAAGGCAGAAAAGTTAGCCATTTGTGCTTCTAAGGGATGAACATCTTTTTTGAGGGTTGCTGAGAAAGGTTGCCCGTCCATGCGGGCAACCTTTGGAAAATGTTCAGAAACTTTGGCAGGTCCAGAAAGCTGCAGCTAGATTTCTGGGCACAATTCAAAGTACTGCTTTTAAGCTATAAAGCCAGCCCTAAACAGCTTGGGTCCAAGCTATCTCACAGACTGCATCTCCCTTTAGGAGCCTGCCAAGAAATTAAGATCATTGGAGGGGGCCTTTCTCTCAGTCTCATCCCCTTCACAAGAGTGTTTGGCGAGGACAGGGGAGAGCCATTCTCTGTTGCTGCTCCCAGACTCTGGAACTCCCTCCCATAAGAGCCAAGTTGGCCCCATCTTTGCTGACCTTCTGCAAGCGGGCAAAGTCCGTTCTCTTCAGGCAGGCTTTAGTGACTCGCTGGTGTTTAAAAAGGGATTTTTGTTGCTTTTAATGTGTTTCTAAAGTAATGTTTTATCTACTATTTTATATTTGTCAATTCTTTTTTTAAAAAATTGTTATAATTTATTGTTTTTAGCTTTTAATATTGTTTTTAACCCTGTACACCACATGTAGTCCTTTTTAGGAGAAGGTGGGATATATTTTAATTCTCTTTTTTCTCTCTTCATAAGGATATCCCCATGCAAAGTATTATTTAAAATATTTTTACTCTTATCTTTTTCCTTCAAAGAACCCAAGGCAGCTTACATAATTGAAAGACAATAAAATATTAAAGCTAGCAACATTGAGTATACAGATATTTAAAAACGTCAAACAAATGTCATTGTCAGTAAGGTGGTAAGACTGCCTTCCCTTGAGTGAGCTGCCCTCCTCTTCCCCATCACATAAGGATATGAAACGTCCAGCTCAGCCATTGACGTTAGGCTATATGACTGGGGAATAGACTTCCCACCAGGGGCCCAAAGCCCTGGAGCAAGGAAGACACTGAGAGCCAGGAAATTGGAAGAGGGAAGGACCAATGGGAGGAGAGGAGAAAGAATTAGAAAAGACTGGAGGGAGGGGAAGGGAGGGTAAAATAGGGGAGAGAATAGAAGGAAGGGGGTTGTTGGAGACCAAGGTTGAAGCGGAGTATGAAAAGGTTGAGCTAGAGGATCTTTGGCATGGAAAATGGGTTATGTTCAGAATATTGAAAGAAGAGGTGGAAATGACGAGGAAAAGGGGAGTTTCCTTGAAACCTTACTGGGGTGAGAAAGAATTGAGAACAAAAAGGTTGAAAAGAGAAGCTAGGACAAAGACCTGAGGACAAGTAACTAACTGAAAATGAACAGAAGTTGAGTCCAAGAAGGAGGTAAGTCCCAAGGAAGAGAAGTAAGAATCTACTCTGAAGGAGGAGCCAGTTATGGAAAGGGATTGGGCACATCATCCTTGCTGCAACAGTCTGTGTGAACCCTCTTCACCCTCCATCCGACCGGGAGCAGCTTTGGGGTGGCTAGCTGTTACATCAAGGTGTTTCGTTGATAACAGACCATGAGAGTACAAACAAATTTTGTTCCTTGATGTATGTTTGCAAACTGTTGAAAGTACCAGTTGAGTAACCACTCTAGTTGTTAAATAAAATTGTTACTGTTAAATCTGAATCATCATCTGTGAGGATAATGGAAGGGATAAATTGGGGTGTCAGTCTAGAACTCAGTTACAAACATACAAAAAACCCTGCAAACAAATACAAAAGTAGAGATTTCCTTCCTGGGAATATGAATTTGCTTGTTTGGATTCCAGATAGAGGGATGGCTATGGCATGTACTTCTACAACAATCTGTTTCCCAGATACGTGGACTAGAATTTCAGTTAAGAAAAAGGAATATATGTATTTTAAAGGAAATCCTACCCAAGTTTAAATTTGGGACAATGACTATGCAATGCTTTGGTGAATTTCTAACAAAAATGCATTTGATAAATTTCACTATACAAGCTCAAACGGAAGAAAAATAAACAACATATGTACAAAACAAAATATTTAATATTTCAGTTATAAAATACTTCTGAGATACAAGGATGTACAGGAGACTATAGAATACAGAAAAGCAAAAAATAAAGTTAAAACTTCTGAAAGCAGGCTTTATCATTTTCTCTGTAGAAAGTTGCCATTATCTCATTGGTATATAACCAATTAATTTGGGACTTTTTACATTATCCCTGCTTTCTTCTTTTACTATCATGTCCTTGCATATATTAGGTTCTGTTTCATATCAAAGCTAATTTATACCTCACCCTTATTGGTTACAATTTTTTCCCAAACACACAACTTTTTCCCAAATAAAAAAAATGTAGACATTTTTTCAACTGAAAGCTGCCATAACAAATTTGGCTCATCTCCTCTGAAGAACTTAAGCTATTTCCCAGTTTTCTGCCATTAGCAGCCCCAAATGTGCATAACTAAAAATATTTTCTTACTAAGATTTTACTAATGACCCATAACCAAAACTAGGCTGCAAATGCTGACTGGCATGGAAGGACAACCTAGATATATTTTTTAAAATAAATAAAATAAAGTCTCTATAAAGTCACCAGATTGTATTTTAACTCTTCCTTGAGTAACCTGAACTTTTAAGGCAGGAATGGGCCACATTTAGCATGTGAGCCACATGTGACCCTCAGGGCCGTTTTTGCAAGCCCCTCAAATATTTTTAGAAAGTTAATTTTTCTCAGAAAATCCCCTTGTGCCCTTTAAGGACATGGGGGGGCATGTCATGTTTTGAGGGCTCCTTGAACCTCTGGTGCCCCCAGTCCCTCAAGAACTTACCTAAAAAAAGGGCCAGTAGAGGGGTCAAGATTGATTTGTTGTTGTTAAAAAGATTTTTTTTAGTTAAATCAGGTTTTCAGTTAACAAAAAACTATGTAGCAAATTTTAAGGTAAATAACCACTGCATTAAAAATATAAAAGCAAAGTAACAAACATTTAAATGTGCAAATTAGTCATCTTAGCCCCACACCTTCTGGAGTGTAGTCCTCAGCAACGTTGCTAGGAAATCTGAAGCATATTTTTTAGCCTTCTTGAGATAATCTATTCCTGCTTGAAGGTGTTCATCTGAAGTAGCCAAGAATTACATTGAAATAAGGGGTTCTCTATAAGAACAGAAGTTTTTGGAATACGTAGTTAACTAAATCAGTTCAGTTGCTATTGCGTCTTTAGTTTCAGTGGATTGCGCAGAACTGGCAGAATGTCTCCTGTCTGTATTAGTAGACAAGAAGTGTTACGCCAGCACATCAGACAGCTAATTATGAGCAGGATAGCATTGCTTGGTCAGAAACGGCACGTTTTAATCCCACGTATCTTGCTCTTTAAAGAAAGGAAGTGATAAATTCAGACTGGTTTGTTTTCAATACATCTTTTGTATGCTCTCTATGAAGCACAGGCAAAGGAGGACAGTTATGCATCTGTTTGTTGTTTGTTTGTCTTCTTCAAGAGCTTTTGCAGGTTAGGTGACATGAAGTAAGGCTTTTCGGCAGAGCCGTCATTACGTTCCAAATCTTCCACTGCAAAGAGATACAAATCCCGCCCCAAGCAAAAAAAAGGGGTGAGAAACTTATGCCTTCGAACCACCAGGTGGCAGATATCCCAACAAGAACCAAGTACATAACTGTATACAGTATAGGCAATTAGAAACCCTGACAGCAAGATGCAGGGTTCAGAGTAGGAGGATTCAGAACCTACTGCTCCATCTTTACATGATTCCAAAACAAAAAAATGTTTGTCATCATGACAAAAAAAAAATTAAGGAGAGTTTTGTTAATTCTGTCTGGGGTAACAAATCGGGTCATTCAAGGCCATGACAGAAGTCGAATGATGATATACATACTGTATTAGGGAAAAATCTGACCTGGGCTATTAACAATCTTAAGTAGTAACATCACATCTTCCCTGGTTAAATCCAAAATTCTTACAGTGAAATTTTACTGCTGCAATGAGAACAAGGTAGTCATTTGAGCCTTACAATGAATGGTAAATAGATCTGTGTAAATTCTCAATAGCACCATTCCTCTGGCATTGCATTTAATTCTGGGTGGGGCAGCTGTGGTCTTTCAGATATTACTAAACTACAATTCCCATCAGCTTCACTCAAGGCCAGGCTAGCAGTGATTGATGGAAAGTAGAATTCCTCCTAATTTAACAACATGATTTTGGGAAATTTAGCAAAATACTTGAGACGGAACAGGCAGTTTTTGGATTTTTTGGGATGTTATTAGATAGCATCAGATATCTGGCAAAGTAATGAAGGGCATCAGGAGCTGCCATCCAACAATATCTGAAGTCACAATTTGTCCATCCCTGTCCAAAACAGATGAAGGACTAACAGTTCCTCACATCTGCCTTTAAGGAAACAGAAAAGCCTGAGAGAAGATCAAGGGTTCCATTTTCACCTTTGTAACACTGAATCACATTTTTTCTCTGGTTTCTCTTTATTTTGACAGAAATGGCAAGGAAGAAGATCTTTTCACACAGGAAAGCAGAGAAGTGGCAGATAACCAAAGTTAGCCTCTCTGTGCATGCACATTGACTGTAACACCAAAGGTAATGGTAGTCAATTATTTGTAGTTTTGCTTTGCTTTGCTTTTCCACTCTGCAAGCTATTATTTACCTATTTTACTTAATACTGAACTTATTCATGCATTATGTTTTTCTGCTAATAGTCCAAAATATTTGAATGACAGAAAAGATACTGGCTTCTTTGTTAGCCATCTTGGCATCCGCACATCTGTCCATCCCCTCTTTAAAAGATCTCTGTTTTTAAGTTGCAGTTTGAAACGAGAGTCTAGAGAGGGCATGGAAACCTGTGTTCTCCCAGTGATGCTAGATTAGAGAGCCTATAGCCCTAGCAAGCACCACTGATTGTGAAGGATGGCCACACATTCTTCCCTGTGTAGATTTTCAGGGTTCGATGGCAGTCTGAAAGATGACACAGTGCTTACAACATTCACACTCAAGATTCATCTGATAAACAGATTGCAAATGCATGTAAACATGTTTGGCCAGAAGCACCAGTGGGAGAAAAGAATTGTGTGCTTGTTATGGGAACCAAAACCTTTCAGATTTTCTTAAACATTTTCGAACGTCAGGCTTGATTAAGCACAGACATCGTTAGGCAGAGCCACTGGTCTCCTGATAACACAAGGACACATGGAATAGGGTCAGTATTTGAAATCCTGAGAATGACCAACATGTCTGCAGGACACCTGTGTCCAAAGTAAGAATAAAAATAAGTGGGACAACAAGTGATTAATAAAATGTTTACAGATAATAAAATGTTTTTGCTATTTCAAATTGTTCAAGGTAATCAAAATTTACTCAGATAATGTTCCTTCTGATGCCCAGACAGCATGCAGCTGGGAATCTCTTTAATAAGGCACTGACTTTCCTAAGACAAGATGTTTTAACATTGCCTAGTGCGAAATACAGAGCATATTAAGCATTCTCAAAAAAATTGTCTAATACATTAGACCCATAGTATGGCTCCCTTTTCTTTTTGCCTGCCAGGCTCCATCATGACACTTTGCCATTAGAATTCCCTATGGTTCAGAAGGGTGCTAAAGTGTCCTTCTCCATTACACTGCCCTGCAAACTGCCAGGCCTGGGTGACTCCTTCCCTTACAGAAAGGGAAGAGGAAAAAGGCCTCCCCCTCCCATCCTGCATAGATGAGTATTAGCAGTATGCTTCCATTGGCAATGGAAGCAGCAGCAAATAGGCACCACAAAATGGCGGGGGTCCTTTGCAAGGCCTGTGTAGCCCCCCCCCGAGGCAAAAAGCTCAGCTCCAGAATTAGGCTGAGATGTTTGTGTCCAACCTGCACATACAATTCATATTCAGTGTAGAATTAATCAATGTAAATTCTGTAGTTCTCTGTCCTGGGAATTAACATGTTCCAGAGTATAGGCTAAGCTAACAGACAACAGTAAAGGCATCCTTTAAACAAGTGTTAGCAGGAGAACTTTCTTTGCATCAAGACAAGCTTTATAAAAGTTATGAAGAAGCAAATGTAACTGTATCTCAGTCAGATTATTCTGTAAGCATCAATACTCTGTGACATGCCGGAAGTTCAGAGTAGTTCATTAAAAGAATAGTTAGCTTCGAAGTTGCACAGAATGCTGCTTTACATCAAAATAAGAAAGTGTAAATGAACATAAATAGGCTTCATAAATTGCAATTTATTGAGAGATATGGCCCCTGGGTGCATAAATTGTTATGTCTGTATAGAAAAAGTTCCAAAAAGTTGAAGCTGGAACTTTAGGATTAGTAATAATTATAATAATGATAATAACAATAACAACAACAATACACTGATTTTTAACTGATACTTTTTTTGGGTTAAAACTTGTATCTGTTATATAATACCAGTCAAAGGCTGTCTTGTAGTAGTAGTAGTAGTTTACTGGGTTTTCTAGGTAGGTAATACTCAGAAGTGTTTCACCTTTCCCTTCTTCTGAGGTCACCCTGGGACTGCACTACTTGCCCATGGTTACATAGACTGGCTTTTCTTTCAGGAGGCACAGTGGGGAAATCAAACTCCCAACTTTGGCTCCACGGCCAGCTACCTAAACCACTGAACCGGCCAGCTTGGGCAGAAATCTGAATCCCTCCGTGCCTGCTTCTCGAGATAGAATTTCTCCCCCCCACCAACACAAACTTATTTTGATCTGAAGAAGAATTTTGTGCAACACAAAGCTTCCCACTTAACCCCTCTCAGCTTATCCCAAACAAACATCCACAAAACCACACCAACACACCACACCAGCAGCTCCTGTTTCTCTTTGGAATCCCAAAGCAATCACATCTGAAATTCACAGAGACGAGAGAACTCCTCTGTCCCACTTCTGCCTAATAAAGAGAAAAGGAGCTAGGAAGTGGACAATATGTAAATGCCTGCAGCATTCTGTCTGTACTGTATGCATGTGTGTCGTTCCTACTTTTATAAATCTGTTTGAACATCCAACCTTGCTATCAAGATGACATCTTGAGGAGAGCAGAAAACACTACATGGCGCAAAGGTGGGGACACTTGGCACTTTTCACCATTAAATGCCAGCTACCCTTCTCTGGTGCAGTAATCTCTGCTGAATAGAGGCTGCCTACAACAGACCACAGTCTTCCACTTGCCCGGTGTAACCATTGCAAGTGTCTACAGTTTCCCAAAACATCCAGATCAGAAGGTCTGCACCCACACTCAAGGGAGCCATGAAGGAACAGACCCTTCCTGTGGATTAGACAGGTGCACATAACGCTGGCAGTGGGAGACCTACATGGTTTGCCCTTCCCACTTGGTGCCCTTGTCCCTATTCTTGGCTCTCCGCACTTTTTGAAGATTCTAGGCTTGCTTTCAGCAGGATTTCACGCAGTGCAGGGGACATGTAATAAGGCCGCTCAGGAGATCCATCGTTTCTTTCCAGATCTTCACCTTTTGGAATCCCAAGAACAGCAACAGAGAAAGCGGCCATAGAAGGAAGACGAAGAGAAGCAAAGCAAAGCAAAGCAAAAATAAATAAAGACAAGGGCAAAGGGGTACAAAGCAAAAGGGAAGAGAAAAGAGGGAAATTTGAAGTTAGTTTGCAATTAGATTCCTCCACCCAGAAAAGAACAAGACAGATCAGACAGTTACGTCCTTTATGCTATTATAGAGTATTCTTGCCACTACAGCAGAGGCAAAAGAGTTTCTAGATGAATGAATGATAGACATGAAGAACAAAAAGTTAATGGCTACAAAATCATTTGAAGAATTAATTCTTACTCTCATGCTGTAAGAAAGCTAAATGTACGTCACCTCTTAGCTAAGGAAAACTGCAGTTACATAGCCACTGACGGCCAAGCTGATAATACTTTTACATTTATCCCAGACATCTCTTGCGCGTGCCCCCTCGGGAGGCTACATCCAGCCATCTGAGAAACACTGATTTAATTGCATGATATTAAGATATCTCACCCACATGGAAGCTCCCTGTCACCGAGAAAGCAAAGCAGAAGAGAGGAGGACCTTTACCTCGTCTTCAACAAGGTGAAGGGAAAAGGACCCCGTGCTAAGAAAGATATCGCTTAATCTTTTGACAGCTGCTTCAAACACATCCTTTACAGGGAGGGTGGCCTCAGGGTGCCGATGTGGTCCATAACATCTTCATACCTCCTCCAAAAATGTAATTCATTTTAAAAATAATCTTTTGCCAAAAGATTCCCTTGGCCCTACAGATGGCACGAAGGCCACTTTGGTCATGTTTTGAGAGTTCTCCTAGCACTTCTCTCCCCCCCCACCGACCCCCCACTCATTTTCAAAATATTTGGTCGATAGAGGATACAAGTGTGGTTCCCCGTGTGGTGATCGACTAGGACTCTGGAGAACAGGGTTCAAATCCCTGCTTAGCCATTGAAACTGACTGGGGGAGTGGAACTGTTAAACCACGCCTTAAAATACCTCACTTGCCTTGAAAGCCCTGTTACGGTCACTCCAAGTCATTTCCAACTTGACAGCATGTATCAAGAACAACAGAGGATACGAGGGGATTCCTCCAGTACCCCCAACATTTATACAGTGGGGTCTTGACTTAAGAACGGCTCGAGTTAAGAACATTTTGACTTAAGAACCGCTCTCTTAGGAAAATATTGACTTGACTTACATACTTAGATTTGAGTTACGAACTGAAAAAAA